ATAAAACAGTTTCTATCATTGGACCTCAGGTATCAGTTATCAGTATCAGTAGACGTGTTATTTTTTTGTAGTGATGTTCATTACTCCTTCACCATAACACAGTATGAGTTGTGATGTGTGATGACTTATTCCGTGTATGGTGACAGGTAGTGTTTACATGGGTGGTCATTATAAAAGTTAAAGTGAACATTGTGTGTGTCTTTTGCATCAGGGTTCAGTCACTCAGTCCTCCAGTCATTATTGTATTAATATTTGATAAAGTCTAAATACTTCTGTAAATAGTATTAACATAAATATCTTCTTTCATGTTTTTTTTTAAACTTGTATCTTTTGTTTTGTATTTGGTCCAAGTAAATATTTGTGATATTTAAAGAACCAAGTGTGCGATATTCTTGCATTTGTGACTATTGAGCCTATGGCGTAACACTTATCACCAACAGCGCTAAACGAGGTATTGATCGACTATGAACGCCACGAAACAGCGCTAAACGAGGCAGCTTTGTTGGTAGTTTTCAGAAGACTGCGGTAATAACGTGCCTTGAGGGAGTATGGGAACCCTGCCACCTGACGGCAACACTTGAGGCATCTGTTGTGTCGTGTTGTGTTGTGTTGTGTTGTGTTTCGTCTCCTACCTGGTCATTAAGAGATCATTTTGTGAGATATATGAGTGTGTGTGTGTGTGTGTTTGTGTGTGTGTAATAATAATAATAATAATTAACGGTTTACTGAAAAAGTTCTGCAGCCTGAAGGCTGAAAATATACATTGGACATAAATGACTTATTACATACATTGGTGGTTTAACAAAAGCCTTCATTAGAGAAAGGTAAAGGAACATACAGTGAACATACAGATTAATGTTTACACACGTAGATCATGTGAGCTGGGGTGTTGAACAGCAAACACGTAGTGTAGTAACTCCCTCACAGATGGTGTTATGAGGGGCATTCCGTGGAGTACTAGTTCCCTCACAGGTGGTGTTATGAGGGGCTTGACGTGGTGTAGTAATTCCCTCACAGATGGTGTTACGAGGGACCTCACGTGGTGTAGTAATTCCTCACAGATGGTGTTATGAGGGACCTCACGTGGTGTAGTAATTCCCTCGCTGATGGTGTTATGAGGGCCCTCACGTGGTGTAGTAATTCCCTCACAGATGGTGTTATGAGGGGCATCACGTGGTGTAGTAATTCCCTCACAGATGGTGTTATGAGGGGCCTGACGTGGTGTAGTAATTTCCTCACAGATGGTGTGATGAGGGACTTGACGTGGTGTAGTAATTCCCTCACATATGGTGTTATGAGGGACATGTGGTGTAGTAATTCCCTCACAGGTGGTGTTATGAGGACCTCACGTGGTGTAGTAATTCCCCACAGATGGTGTTATGAGGGACCTCACGTGGTGTAGTAATTCCTCACAGATGGTGTTATGAGGGACCTCACGTGGTGTAGTACCCTCACCGATGGTGTTATGAGGGACCTCACGTGGTGTAGTAATTCCCTCACAGATGGTGCTATGAGGGACCTCTACGTAGTGTACCAACTCCTCACAGACAGGCATGAGGGACCTGACGTGGTGTAGTGCAAACTCCCTCACCGATGCATAAGTGCCAAGTGAGGGGGCTAAAATGTAAACAAACAAATACTTTTGGCCAAAAGGAAGTCCTGTTTTGAGACCACTGTACCAGCTTAAACTAAGCAGGAGTATATACAGGCAGCAGAGAGAGAGAGCAGAGCAGAGTATATATATATATATATATATATATATATATGCACGCCTAGTGCTTAATCATGAGACGCTCTGGGGTTCGGGGCTAGAGGGTGTTAAGCCTCGGCATTAATGGTGTTATTAAGGGCGATTTTTACTGTTGATTGTGTGAGGTTAATTTGATCTGTTCTCTATTCTTCTTCATCTTCTTTGTTATTTTATTTTTTCTCATTTATTTCATTTTATTTAGATTTTGTGTTTGGTCTCTCTCTCTCTCTCTCTCTCTCTCTCTCTCTCTCTCTCTCTCTCTCTCTCTCTCTCTCTCTCTCTCTCTCTCTCTCTCTCTCTCTCTCTCTCTCTCTCTCTCTCTCTCTCTCTCTCTCTCAGTTATTCTGTTATGGATATGCCTCTCACTCTGTCCTGCATGGCAGTGAACAGTGACAGTACCTATATGAATCTAACCTATATACATTTATAGCTGTTAATGAATATGATGTATTTCTTTGTGTATGAACCTCTGTCCTGCGTGGCAGTGAGAAGTGATACCACCCTCAGTGTCAAGACCTGACTGAATTACTCAGAATAGGCAAACTGTACTACTGTACAAGCTCTGCCAATAAATTTGTTAAACTAAAAAAATTCTTCCTCCCTTCTTTCTTCCCCCCGCTCTCCTTTCCTCCTCCCTGCCTCCCTGCCTCCCTCCTCCCTCCTCCCTGCCTCCCTCCTCCCTCCCTCCCTCCCTCCCTCCCTCCCTCCTGGTTGAAAATATGGCAGGGGATATTACTTGATGAGAAGATGGTTGTTGAGGAGAGTATGAGGGAGGGAGAGAGGGGGTGGAGGGAGGGAGAGGAGGAAGGGAAGGAGTGGAGGGAGGGAGGGAGGGAGGGTGGGAGGGAGGGAGGGGGAGGGAAGGAGGGAGAGAGGAAGAGAGGGACAATGTGATGACTCAAGTAATGAAGATGTTGGGAGAGAGAGAGTGTGTAATAATAATAATAATGATAATAATAATAGTAATAATAATAATAAACGGTTAGTTGAAAAAGCATGGCACCAGAAGGCTGAAAATATACATTTACATAATTTGGGAATGGCTCATTTGATTGACAAATAATATACAAGTAACATAAGTGATACAAATATGATATATAATGACTAGGTGGGAACTGGGACTGGGCTGTTCTTATAGAGATCAGTTCGTGCTCGTATGGGCTGGATGTGGTGGTGTCAAACAGCAATTCGCGAACGAGGGAACTCGGGTGGAGGCAGGAGCCGGTGTATATGTGTGTATGTATGTATGTATGTATGTCAGTACTGAGTGACGGCATTAAAGAAAAAACATTTAAGTATATCAAAAAATAAATAAAATAAAGTGAAAATCGAAAGATAAGAACAGTGAAGCTGACCATCTCAACCACAACATAAGAACATAGGAATGGAGGAAACAGCAGCGGACTTATTGGCCCGTACTGGGCAGTCTCGTTTACACCCAACCCCTATCGCTCATGTATCCATCCAACCTATGGTTGAAGCTTTCCAGCGTAATCGAGTTAATGATGATGTTTGGTAACTTGTTCCACTCATCCATTACTCTATTTCCAAACCAGTGTTTACTTATTTCGCGCCTAAATCTAAATTTGTCTAATTTAAAACCATCGTTACGAGTTCGCTCCTGGTTGGATAGTTTGAGTACCTTTGTTATATCACCTTTGTTTAGCCCTGACTTCCATTTATACACCTCGATCATATCGCCCCTCACTCTACGTCTCTCGCGGAGTGCAGAATAAGATGCTTTAACCTACTACAACCATAACCTTCAACCACAACAACAGTCATAACTACAACCACAACCACAACCTTCAACTACAACAACAGTCATAACTACAACCACAACCTACAAGCCATAGCCACAACCATAGGCACAACCACAACCTACAAGCAGTCACAACCACACCTTTAACCACAGCCACATCCTACAACTACAGCAACAACCACAACGTACAACCACAGTCACAACTACAACCACAGTCACAATTACAACCACTGTCACAACTACAAACACAGTCACACCCACAACCACATCCTACAACCACAACCACAGTCACAACCACAACCACATCCTACAACCACAACCACATCCTACAACCACAACTTACAACCTACAACCACAACTTACAACCTACAACCACAGGTCTTTGTTGCCACATAATAAGTAGTGGACATTAATCTGTGTAAGAGCTGGCCTGGCTGAGTCCTCCTGTGTAGCTCCTCTTAATTTTATGGGCGGTGGGCGGTGGGCGGTGGGTGGACGGTGAGGTTAGATTAGGTTAGGGTAGGGAAAGGTTGTTAGGAGGTTAGGTTATGTTAGGTTGTTAGGAGGTTAGGTTAGGTTATGTTAGGTTCTTAAGTAAATCTTACCCATAAATGTTGAACCTGGAAGTCTTATAATTAAGGTAAGCCAGAGGGTAATAATGCTCATTGTAGATACTAATTACCACCTAATTAAGAGTTATTGTGAGAGATTAGGATGAAGAGTCTAATTATCTTTGGAGTATGCTGACGAACTTGTGTCTCAACCACCTAATAAGGCTCTTACTGATGGAGTCATATGAAGAAAAAAAAACTACTAATAATACTTCATTAATAATTGGTCTTTTTTGTGTGGATGATGAGCAGGAATATCTCCGAGTCTGATAGTGTGAGTATTATAATATTCTTCGGGATTATTCTCAAGATGCCGAGTATTTTTTTTTCCTAGTCTTATTGTGCGAGTATTATTATGAAATATTATGGATTATTTATTTTATTTTTCTCCGTGTGAGTTTAATTAGACTATGGAGTATTATTTGGGGAGTATAGTTTGTCTGTTATTATAAATTATGCTTATTGGTTTTTTTTAATTGGTTTGAATGAAGGATTATTAATTTATTTTGTTGTTGTGTTTTGGATTCACTATCATGCTCGACCACCACGCCCACCCGCTCATCATGCTCGATCACCATGCCCACCCGCTCATCATGCTCGATCACCACGCCCACCCGCTCATCATGCTTGACCACCACGCCCACCATCCACAACCCACCACTTATCTATTCACCCACCCACCTTACACCCCTACCAATTGATTCATCACGCCCTTACTAACCCACCACCCACATTCACCCACACCCACCCATAGGTTCATCACGCCCACATCCCCACCCACCCACACACCACCCACCACATCCACCGATCCATCTCGTCCACCACACACCCATCAATTGATCACGCCCACACTAACCCACCTCCCCTACGCCCACAGATCGAGCACTGTTACTACCACGGGACTGTCAAGGACTACACGGGCGCCATCGCAGCGTTCAGGACATGTAATGGACTGGCTGGTATCATTCAACTTGGCAACGAGACCCTCCTGGTGTCCCCTATGGCTGGCGGTGAGAATCTGGTAAGTATTTTACCGACACTGAGGACTGGGGTCTGTTGGGGCTTTGGGACTATAGGGACTAAGGTATATTAAGAACTGGGGTCTATAAAGGATTGGGGACTAATTGGGGACTTCCGACTATTAAAGGCTGGGGTGTATTAAGGACTGAGGTCTATTAAGGACTAGGGTCTAATAAGGACCGGGGTCTATTATGGTTGGGTTCTTTTAGCACTTGGGGTCTAATAGGACTATCTTACGCTTAAACTCCCCACATTTTTCCCACTTTTCGCCCCACTATTTCCTCCCCATCACCTCCCCGCCCCTTGTTTCCCCACTAATCTCTACCCCACCTCTAACATCCTCCTCCCCACCAATAATCTCCCCCACCCACCACGTCAGAACCAGGTAAAAGCCCCAGAAGAGAAAATCGCCTTAACTCTATCGTCAATATTGGACAAGGAATCCGGGTTCTCAATACACGATTTGTTGACGTTTTTGTAACAGCGGCCGGATTTGTTTATTGTTTTTTATTTATTTATTTATTTGTATATACGAGATGGCAGACGGCAGGATATAATATTATCTTAATAATACGGATGGCAGGGTTGTTACTTACACGGCAGGATTTACTTACACGAATTGCTGTACTTAGAAACTTGCTTACTTATTGACTTACTTAATCAACCCTTTGTTTATATCTTTAAGGGCCGAGTGACGTCATCAGCGTTCATCCAGTAATAATAATAATAATAATAATAATAATAATAATAATAATAATAATAATAATAATAATAATAATAATAATAATAATAATAATAGACAAGACAAATAAAGAGAGAGACAGCGACACGCAATAAGGGTGAAAAGAGTATCGTTCGCTAATTTCAGGGAGAGAATGAGGAAGAGGAGAGAATGAGGAGGGGGGAGGAGGGGGACTAGGAGGAGGAAAACAAAATGCTAGAGGAAAGGGAAGACACTAACGGCTGAAAACTTTCCCTCCATTCCTCCGTCCCTCCTTTTGCCCCTCCGTCCCTCCCTCCCTTTGTCCCTCCATTTGTCCCTCCCTTCTTACACTCTCTCTAAACCTCAGAGCTGGACCGTGACGCCCTGAGAAGTTGACCTTATTGTGAGGGCATGGGGGAGGAACAGGTAAGGCGTGGGGGAGGAACAGGTAAGGCGTGGGAAAGGAACAGGTAAGGCGTGGGAAAGGAACATGTAAGACGTGGGGGGTGGGGCAGGAGGAGCGTCATCCATCACGTACACACAGGAAGGTCTTATGAAAACTGAGTGTGGGAAGTGAACCACCTGGCCACCCTCTGTGTGTGTGTGCTTACTGTACCACACACACACACACACACACACACTTGCTGTTGCCTCTGCTGTTATTCCTCACACTGTTGAAAGAGGTCGTTTTCTCTCTCTCTCTCTCTCTCTCTCTCTCTCTCTCTCTCTTCATCACCTAGAATTAACTAGGATTATACGATAGAGAAGCAGTACCTAGGGGTAACTAAACCAATTATAAATGTATATATAGATCTGTCGCATCCCCCCCCAGACAAATTGGACCGTGGCTCAGGACAGGGAGTAAACTCAGACAGACGTGAGTTGAAGACAGGGAACCTAACCTCACCTCACCTCACCTCACCTCAACTCACCTTAGCAGCTCAGGGCGGTGAAGTAGACGTAGATAGACTCGAGTTGAATAAATGGAAGTAATTGACAATCATACTTCAATCTCTATCAAGTCTCGGTCCATGTGACATATAAACAAGACTTAATTGAGTATTCAACCCTCGTCCTCTTCCCCCTCCCCCTTTGCCCCCTCCTTCTCCTCCTCTCCCCTCCTATCCTCTTCCTTCCTTCCATCCACTACCTTCTTCTTCTTCATCTGCTTCTTCCTTTATTCTGTTGCAGTCCTCCCTCATCCTCTCCTTCTTCTTCCTCCACCTCCTGTCCTTCCTCCCCTCTGTCCTCCTCTCCTTCTCCTCCTCCTCCTCCTCCTCCTCCGTCCTCCACCTCCCTCTCCTCCTCCTCCTCCTCCTCATCCTCCTCCTCCTCCTCCTCCTCCTCCTCCTCCTCCTCCTCCTCCTCCTCCTTCTCCCTCCTCCTCCTCCTCCCTCCTCCTCCTCTCCTCCTCCTCCTCCTCCTCCTCCTCCTCCTCCCCTCCACCTCCTCTCCTCCTCCTCCTCCTCCTCCTCCTCCTCCTCTACTCCATTTAATTCTAAGCCAGTCTGCTCCTGAAACCCAGAAAATGGAGAAGGGAAATGAAGGAAGAGACAAGAGCGAAAGGAGAAGAGAGATATAGAGATTATGGGATAACTGTGATAGATAATAAACTTGTACTAAATATAACGCAGAGTAACCTAACCTAACCTAACCTAACCTAACCTAACCTAACATAAACCTTACTTAAATTGCTCGTATTGAACTCTCAGCATCACATCCACACACCGTAGTCTAAACCCACCTTGTGTCCTCTCTTTCACCAGCCCAAACATCCGCACTTCGTAATAGAGTCGAAGAACCCACACATCCACCAGAAGTGTGGGTACCAGACGGGTTATGAGTGGAGTATGTGGGAAAGAAACTACAACCGCCTCAGCCACGGTCGGAAGAAGAAACAAACAAGACATCGCTTTACCAGAGATGTCCGTGCGACCATCAAGTACATTGAGACGGCTCTCTTCCTCGATAAGAAATTTGTGAGTATTGTTGTAGTGCTGTTGTGGTGGTGGTGGTGGTGGTATAGTTGCGGTGTGTTATGGTGCTGTGGTGTGGAGTGTTGTGATGTGTTGTGGTTTGTTGTGGTTAGTGTGGTTGTTGGTGATGCTGTTATGGTGTGTTATGGTGCTGTATTGTGGTGTCGGTATGGTGTGTTGTGTTGTGGTGTATTGTAGTGGTAGTGTTAGTGTTATGGTGCTACAGTATTATCCAATAGAGTCAATTATAAGTATTTGACCAGTTACACCTTAACCTGCTTCTCATGAATTAAGTAACTAACATACTTATAGCAACTAATACCACCTACTTATATAATTTAAACACCTACTTTACTCTACTTATAAATAAAATCCTGAATTTACTTATGATTTAACCAGTTAATTCAACATACTTATAAATTAACTACTTTACACCCTACTTATAATGCAAAATACTTTTACCTACTTTTGTCTCTTATAAGTAACTACTGTTGTTTACGTTACAGATGGAGGACAGGAACTACTCCCGTGTTAGAGCTCTTAATGACGCACTACAGATAGCTAACATTGCTGACCTGGTGAGTGATAATGTTCCTTCGTCTTTCCTTCCCCAACTGTCTTCTCCAACATTACAGAAATCCCCCTCTGTCTTCCCCAACACACCATAAAACACTACATGTCTTCCCCAACACCATAAAACACTACATGTCTTCCCCAACACCATAAAACACTACATGTCTTCCCCAACACCATAAAACACTACATGTCTTCCCCAACACCATAAAACACTACATGTCTTCCCCAACACACCATAAAACACTACTTGTCTCCCCTGTCTCCCCCAACACACCATAAAACACTACTTGTCTTCCCCAACACACCATAAAATACTTCCTGTCTCCCCCAACACACCATAAAACACTACCTGTCTTCCCCAACACACCATAAAACACTACCAATGTCTTCCCAACACACCCATAAAACACTACTTGTCTTCATAAAACACTACTTGTCCCCAACACACCATCACAAAAACACTACCTGTAACTTTCCCCAACACACCATAAAACACTACCTGTCTCCCCCAACACACCATAAAACACTACTTGTCTTCTCCTAACACACCATAAAACACTACCTGTCTTACAACACACCATAAAACACTATAAAACACTACTACTGTCTTCCCCAACACACCATAACACACTGCTTGTCTCTCCCCAACACACCATAAAACACTACTTGTCTCCCCCAACACACCATAAAACACTACCTGTCTCTCCCCAACACACCATAAAAACACTACTTATTTCCCAACACACCATAAACACTACTTGTCTCCCCAACACACCATTAACTTGTCTCCCCAACACACCATAAAACACTACTGTCTCCCCAACACACCATAAAACACACTCTGTACACCATAAACTACCTGTCTCCCCAACACACCATAAAACACTACCTGTCTTCCCCAACACACCATAAAACACTACTTGTCTCCCCAACACACCCATAAAAACACACAACACACCACTACTGCAACTATGTCTCCCCCAACACACCATAAAACTAACAACACCTACCTGTCTTCCCCAACACACCATAAAACACTATAATATTCCCCAACACACCATAAAACACTACCTGTCTCCCCCAACACCATAAAACACTACCTGTCTTCCCCAACACACCATAAAACACTACCTGTCTTCCCCAACACACCATAAAACACTACATGTCTTCCCCAGTCACCGTTGTCCATAGGTAATAGATCCCACTGACTGCCTCTGGTGATTTAGTGATTCCTTCTCTCCCCTTTCCCTCCCGTTTCTCCCCAGTAATACGTCTGTCTCTCCCTCGTCTCTCACCAGTAACACATTTGTCTCTCATCTCCTCCCTCGTCTCTCACCAGTAACCTCTCCTCTCCCCTCTCTCTCCCTCGTCTCTCGTAACACTCTCTCTCTCTCTCTCACCATAACCTCTCCCCTCTCTCCCTCGTCTCTCACCAGTAACACTCTCCCTCTCTCTCCTCGTCTCACCAGTAACACTCTCCCCTCTCTCTCCTTCGTCTCTCACCAGTCTCTCCCCTCTCTCTCTCCTCGTCTCTCACCAGTAACACTCTCCCTCTCTCTCCTTCTCTCACCAGTAACACTCTCCCCTCTCTCTCCTTCGTCTCTCCAGTAACACTCTCTCTCCCTGTCTCTCACCAGTACCTCCCTCGTCTCTCACCACTCTCCCTCTCTCTCCTTCGTCTCTCACCAGTAACACTCTCCCCCTCTCTCCCTCGTTTCTCTGTAACCTCTCCCCTCTCTCTCCTTCGTCTCTCACCAGTAACCTCTCCCCCTCTCTCCCTCGTCTCACCAGTAACCTCTCCCCCTCTCTCCCCTCGTCTCTCACCAGTAACACCTCTCCCCTCTCTCTCCCTCGTCTCTCTGTGCTACTCTCCCCTCTCTCTCCCTCGTCTCTCACCAGTAACACTCTACTCTCTCTCCCCTCTCTCCTCGTCTCTCACCAGTAACACTCTCCCTCTCTCTCTCTCCTCGTCTCTCACCAGTAACACTCTCCCCCTCTCTCTCCCCTCGTCTCTCACCAGTAACACTCTCCCCTCTCTCTCCTCGTCTCTCACCAGTAACACTCCCCCTCTCTCCCTCGTCTCTCAGTAACCTCTCCCTCTCTCTCCCGTCTCTCACCAGTAACCTCTCCCCTCTCTCCCTCGTCTCACCAGTAACACTCCTCCCCTCTCTCTCCCCGTCTCCCCCCCCTCTCTCTCCCTCGTCTCACCAGTAACCTCTCCTCTCTCCCTCGTCTCTCTGTCTCACCAGTAACACTCTCCCCCTCTCTCTCCCTCGTCTCTCACCAGTAACACTCTCCCCCTCACCCCCCTTCATATCTCTGCAGTAACACCTCTCTCTCTCTCTCTCCCACCTTTCCTCCAGTACTTTAAAACCATCAACACAAGGATCACCATCACCTACCTGGAGACGTGGTCAGGAAGGAACCTCATCGACTTGGGGAGGAACCAACCCATCTCTACAGCTCTCATTAACTTCTACGGCTATGTGGGCGAGAACCTCAGTGAATTCCATAAGGATACTTCTCATCTCATCACGTGAGTTGGGGAGAGAGGGGGTGACGGGTCTTAGCAGCAGGGATGGGGAAGGGGTGATGGTTTTTTAGAAAATTGGGGGGAGGGAAGGGAGAGAGGGGCGGGAGAGAGAGGTGATAGTTAGGGAGGGTAGAGGGTTAAATTACGCGTGTGTGTCAGGTAATACTCTTAGTGTGTGAGTTTTTAGTGCTCAAGAGTGTGTTTCTAAGTGTGTCTTAGTGCCCTAGTATGTTTCTCAGTATGTTAGTGTCCTAGTCTCTGTTTCTCAGTGTGTTAGTATTCTAGAGTGTGTTTCTCAGTGTGTTAGTATTCTAGAGTGTGTTTCTCAGTGTGTTAGTATTCTAGAGTGTGTTTCTCAGTGTGTGTTTGTGTCCTAGTCCCTATTTCTCAGTGTGTTAGTATTCTCGAATGTGTTTCTCAGACTGTGTCAGTTCTGTCTCCTCCACTACCAACACTTGTCTCTCTCATCTCTACCAACAGAGGTGAACAGTTCCAGGGAGGCGAGTCAGGCATGGGTGTACCAAACAGCATCTGTACACCCAAAGCTGCTGGCATCTCTGTTGACCTGAACGTTTACGAACCTCACCTTGTGGCCTCTACCATGACGCATATGATGGGACACAACTTATATATGAAACATGATGATGGTAGTAAGTAAATTGTTTGTATACCCTGAGTGAGTGTCTGCCTGTCTGCATTGTTTGTACACCCTGGCGTGTGTGTGTGTGTGTGTGTTTTGTAATGCCTGCGTGTGTCTGTGTACATTTTTTATATACCTGCAGTGTCTGTGTATATTATTTATATCCCTGAAGTGAGTGTTTGCATTGTTTTTGTATACCTAGAGTGTCTGTGTACTTCGTTTATATACTTAGACTGCCTTAGTATACTCTCCCCAAAAAGTATCGGGCCCCCCCTGTGTCTGATGTAGCCTATATGGAAATGAACACCATAACACGTGCACGGCAGTCTCAGTTCGGTTGGTATTTCTGATTGTGAGTTTCACCTTTCGTTCTTTCTTCTTGCACCTGATAATCACCATGATATCTGCAGTATTTTTATTTTACTTTACAGTATTTTTTTTTACGGGGATTAGCTCACCCGGGCACAGGTCGCTGACCCACATCAGGGCCTGGGGGGGCGAAAAAAAAAAAACTATTATTATTATTGTCATTACAACAATAAAAAATAATAATGATAATAACCATAAATAAATACAAAAACGAAACAAAAAATAAATCAAGAGTGAGAAACGATATACTGTACAGCATGTTATGTTTTATTGCAAAAGTAAGAGAAACAATTCAGACCCTGTAATTGTGTGTAATGAGGCAGAAAGTCAGATCAGCAATCTAGGACTTGGTCACAATTTTTGTGGTGCCATATAGCAGCAGGGTCTACCATTAGACAACACATAATGCTTCCAATATCTTCCCAGGCGGTATCGATGAGAAAAGGGGCCGATATTTTTTTAGGAGAGTGTACATTGTTTCTATACCTGCACTGTCTCTGTTTACTGTTTGTATACCTATAGTGTTTACATACATTGTTTGTACACCTGCAAAATGTGTACAGTGTTTGTATACTTGCAAAACATGTTTACAGTAGCACCTCGATAAATCGGACTAATTGGGGCAGACCCCAATCCGAAAATACGAATACATACAGGGGAGGGGGGAGATAAAACACTGCTTATCTGAACTGTTTAAAGAAAGTCAGTTGATGTTATGTTATTACTGAATTTCAACAACTAAGGTCTTTAAGTGTATAATAAAGTTATTAAAAAAATATTACATCAACAATAAAAAAATATAAAATTACTCTCTGGGTTGAAAATCAGACATTGTATGGTTGTCAACAACTTTTGTCACCGAGATGACTGTTTATTAACTGTAAAGTGTTATATGTGAGTAACCACATAATTTGCCTTAAGGATAGAGAGAAAACTGTATATACTGTACAATACTGTAAATATATAAATAAGGTACTCACTCCTCCAAGATTCCCTTAACACTTCTTTATCCCACCACAATTTTCATATAATTTAGGATCATTTGGTGCCAAGTTGATAAAATATTTTACTAAAATAATCAGCTTTCCTGAAAAAAGAATCCCACACTGAACCGAGTCATTTATTTACAAAGAGCCAACAGCTGATTGGCTTACCGAAGTTACCGTCTGTCTTCAACTATTCCATGACAAAAACCCAGTGGACAAAATCCCAGTGGACAAAATCCCAGTGGACAAAATCCCAGCGGACAAAATCCCAGCGTACAAAATCCCAGCCTCTTATCCCAAAAGTGGACAAAAACCCAGTCTCATAAAAGATTAATTAATAAGATTAGGTGTAAAGACCATTCGCTATCATATTAATAATATGATATATTATATTATATTGTATTAAGGTATCGTATACAATTTTTATGTGTGGCAAAATAAAAAAAAAACACGACAAACTAATAACACCTGTGATTGTTGTTCCATAACAGCATAAGAACGTAAGTTGCTTGAACCTACTGTTATTTTATTTTATTTATTTTATTTTATTTATGAGACTCGAATTTTGAATGTTAAATTTGTTTTTTTTATATATGAGACTTTTTTTTACAAGACTGGGATTTTGTCCACTTTTGGGATTTTGTCCGCTGGGATTTTGTCCGCTGGGATTTTGTCCTGTAACCGTCTTCAACACTTAGTAAACTAGTACAGTACAGTCGTGTTTTTATCATTACTTAATAAATACTATTGTAGTGTGTTTATCACCATTTAATAAATACTATTGTGTATTTGTCATCACTTAATAAGTAATATTGTAGTGAATAGATGCATACATCAGCATATACCTTGGTTTATTCATTAATCATTTGTCTAAGAGTACAAGTAGCCAAATATAGTCATCATATAACACTCAAAGGTGGTAAATAACGGTTTTAGGAAGGTTTCTTCATGTCAAATACTATACAGTGTGCTTTAGTGACCCCTGTTGTAAGCTGCTTTGCTGAAAGCTCTCACATCTTGAGTAAATAACCTTCTGATACAGCTTATCCTTTTATTTTCAAGTTATATTACAAATTACATACAATATTGTATCTCTTCTCGGTATTTTTACTTTCAGACACGAGTCCCCAGGAATTGGCCAATATGGCCTTTATTTTTGGCAGAAATTGCTCGTTTTTGCCCCCCCCCCCCCACCGATAATGGGGGGGGAGCCTGAGTAATCGGGGTTTTGGGTGGGGGAAAACATCGTCTAACCTAACCTAACCTAACCCCTAGCCCCCAGACCCTCGGTAGGCTTAGCTTATATTAACCTGACCTATCCTATTCATTTCCAACTAATATAAATGGGGTTCAAAAGACTCAAAATAATGAAATCTAAATGTTTCAGTAGTTTTAAACTTTGGGCCGCGCCATGTCCGAAAGTACAATACCTTAGTTAGAAGTGGAAGGACCAGGGATAGGTTCAGGGTCAACCTCTGATGCTTTTTCTTTCTAAATTTACAAGGCAAATTACAGTGCGGTCACTCAACAGACGTAGGGAGAACATATGTAGGAGTTGGATAGCTTGATCGTCTTTCTCGTAAAACTCGGCAATAAACTTAAAATAGGAGCACGTTTCTCCCCAACCTCCACCACGGCCATTGTCACACTTGTCATTGAAATTGAAATCCTTCAAATCCGTACCTTGGCTCCTCCCTATGATTGGTTGAAAAAAATTGCGTGATGAGATCGATACGTGTGTGATGTAAACACACTTATAATTAACTCTCTTTCACGATAACATCTCCTCACATAGATGAAGACTGAAAAGTACGTAAAATCAATTAAATTAAATTAAGTCGCTATTATCCATTTCCGCCAGGTATATACAGTGTATAGGGTTCAAAATGCTCAGAATAGGGAGATTTAAATGTTTCAGTAGTTTCTAACTTTGGGGCATTATGTCCGAAAGCAAAATAATACCCTTTTCTCTATTACTGAAGATGATATATTTATCATGATGAACCATAAACCATAAGAGGCTAATCATATGAAAATATAATACTGAATCAATAAAAATTAAACCTGACAAATGTGGCAACACCTGATCAGCCCCAGCCTGCTTACATACTCAGTGTTGTACCGCAGCTCTCAGTAGGCCTATAGCAAGTCTGATTAGACCACTGTACAGTATTCAGTAAGTGTTGTTCATTTCATAAGATTTTTTTTTATTAATCTTCTCCTTTTCTTCTTTTTTATAGTATTTCTGGTGAACAGCATCTGAGAGCCTGAAAAAAGCGAATTTCAATATATTGAAGTCCGATTTATCGAGGTTTTACTCGTACATTGTTTGTATATTGTTGATATAAATATATAGACTTATGTATTGATGTTAAAATTCTTCTGTATACAGAAAAATTGTGTATTAACCTTAAAAATTACAGAATAATTTCAGAATAACATATCATGAATAAGTAAAAAAGGCCTTACTTAATTTCACAAACTGTAACTTACTTAAAATACCGTAACTATCAATAACTTCATAAACTCTAATAAACTTCTAAAATTATAATTAACTTAAAAAACTGTAATTAATATAAAAACTGTAATACATTTATAGAACTAATTAATTAAAAAACTGATAATAACTTCAAAATACAGGAGTTAGCTTTAAAACGGTAAAATAAAAACAATCATTAACTTCCAGAAACTGTAATTAACTTTAATAACTGACAAATAAATTATCATTAATTTTACAAAACTCTATAACATCAACAACTGTCATTACTGTATTTCAGGACCAAACTGTTACTGTCAGGACTGGCATGGCTGTATTATGTCCAAGACTGTAGTCGGTCAAGACAATGTTCAACCATCCAAATTTTCCAAGTGTTCTGTAGAGGATTATCATCATGCACTACAGAATGTTGACGAGGCCAGCTGTCTCCTCCACACACCCTCTAAGGTATGTGTTTGTGGGCTCTGTGTATGTGGCAGAGTTGTAAAGAGTACCAGAATTTGATGTTACTTAAGTAAAAGTACTGTATTGTTACTTTGGCAAAATGTTGCTGAAGTAGAAGTAAAAGTATCCAAAGTTCAATGTACTCAAGTAGAAGTAAAAAAGTATCTCATTCATAAAGTACTCAAGTACTGAAGTAAAAAGGTAACATCAACCAGATGCTCACAAGCAGCAGAAGTGAAGAAACGCTTGTGATTAGTTAGCTTCCAAGTTTGTCCAGTGTCCTGTGATTGGATATTTAAACTCTATTGTTTGAGGCATCTAATGAGTAACGATATTTATTTTATCAATTGAATTGTTGTAAAAACAATAAAAAAACATACACAAGTAAAAGTACTTTATAAAAAAGTAAATACCCAAAAATGTTACTCGAGTACAGTACTCAAGTAAATTTACTCGTTACTTTACAACTCTGGTATGTGGGCTATGTGTTATGTTGTGATTAGAATTGTGAGTTAAGTCAGTCTATTCTACAACTCTGGATGAACGTTGATAGAATGTTGAGTTGAATTTTAATTGTGTCAGACAGTCTATAGGCTACCTTCCAATCCATGACTCACTTGGTTGATTGGTTGACTCTATCTCAGTCAGCTTTATGGTTACACATAATGGTTATGTCCAGGAAGTGAGAGAAAATTAGGATGACAGCCCAGGAAATAAGAGACAATAAGGATGACAGCCCGAAAAGTGAGAGACAATTAAGTTGAAAGTATAAGAAGAGAGAGACTTTGAAGATAAACAAGCAAATAGACAAACAAATTATAAATATAATCTTAATAGAAGAAGAAAAAAAAATAGATTCACTATAATTTTAATAATATTCCATTAGAAATTTAAAATAAAATATACATAAATAAATCTTCCTTCTGGGTAATTTTCGAAGATTAATATGAACTTCTCTATCTCTCTCTTGCGATCGTCTCACAGTTCAAGAATGCTCGACCCGGTGTCCCAGGGAAGTTACCGGAACAGAGGAGGCCGCGTCCGGTAAGACCAACTTGTTAACGGGGCTCATTTTAAGGGGTTCTGGGTTCTTAAGGGTTCATATGTGGGGTTCAAAGTAGTTAAGGGTTCATGTAAATTGTAAAGGGTCATTTCAGGGGTTTAGACTTGTTAAGGGGTCATTTAAGGGGTTCTAGTTTGTTAAGGGGATCATTTTAAGGGGTCATTTAAGAGGTTCATGGTTGTTAAGGGGGTCATTTAAGGGGTTTAAAGTTATTAAGGGGACATATAAAGGGTTCAAAGTCATTAAGGGGACATATAAAGGGTTCAAATTCATTAAGGGGACATAAAGGGTTCCTAGTTATCAAAAGGTTTATATCAGTACCAAATTATTATTAATATTTTGTTACCCCCTGACTATAGCCCTTCGAGTGTGGTAACGGCAGAGTGGACGATGGGGAGCAGTGTGACTGTGGTCCTCGGGAGAAGTGTGACCTCATTGACCCGTGCTGTGACCCCCTCACCTGTCGACTAAAATTGGAGGCCGAGTGCGCTACAGGACCTTGCTGTAATGATTGTCAGGTGAGATACAGTACATACTATCCTTCAAACCTGTACAGTTACAGCAAATCCCTCTCTATTACAGCAACATATTAAGGGTTACAGCAAATCCCTCTTATATTACAGCTGCGGCCAAAAGGGTACATGTGTCGGAAAGCCCAGACCGAATGTGACATACCCGAGTTCTGTAATGGGCTACACGGCAGCTGCCCCATGGATATATACAAGAAAACAGGCAACAAATGTGGTAATGGGAAGGGCTACTGTTTTAAGGGAATCTGCCCAACCCTTAACAACCAGTGTGAGCTTATCTGGGGCTACGGTAAGTGTGTGTGTGTGTGTGTTGGTCTTATGGGGCAACCGAAGCTCATGTCGATTCCGTTTTATTCATGTCAGTTTCGTCTCATTATAGATTTACTCCACTTCAGTTTCAAGTTTGATTGTTATTTTGATTTAGTGTGTTTAGTTATCACCTCATTCACTTCTGATTATCCTCATGCACTTTGGATTTCTTCACTCATTTCAGATTCACATCACTCACTTTAAATTCTCCTCATTCACTTTAAATTCTCCTCATTCACTTTAAATTCTCCTCAATCACTTCATCTTTACCTTTATCACTTAAACTCATCATACTTGCTCATCATAAATTAAGAATTGTGTAAAAGTTTAATAGTTTGTGTAAAAAGATTAACAAATTGTGTAAAGTTAAATTTTTATAAAAGGTTGTGAAAAAAATAGCAAATTGTATAAAAATTTGTCAACAAAATAACAAATTGTATAAACATTTGTAAAAGAAATAAATAAATTATATAAAAGGTTGTGAAAAAATAACAGATTCTATAAAAAGTTGTGAAGAAACTAACAGATTCTATAATTATAAAAAGTTGTGAAAAAGTTATGTTAGCTGTTACTACTAATAAAGCACTGATTCTCCCTACAGGTGGCCAGGCATCAGATGAGACGTGCTATAAACAGTTTAATGTCGATGGTGTCATATATGGCAACTGTGGCCGACATCACAATGGTAGCTACATCAAGTGTGAGCTAGGGTAAGTACTTTAAGTGTGAGTTAAAGGAAGTACTTCATGTGTGAGCTAAAGGGAAGTACTTCAAGTGTGAGCTAAGTGTAAGTACTTCATGTATGAGCTGAGGGTATGGTAAGTATTTCAAGTGTGAGCTAAGAGTAGTACTTCATATGTGAGCTGAGGGTAAGTACTTCATGTATGAACTGAGGGCAAGTACTTCAAGTGTGAGCTAAGGGAAGTACTTCATGTGTGAGCTGAGAGAAATACATCAAGTGTGACCTGCAGTAAGTACTTATAGGAAACAAAGTAATTGTTATAAATACAAACAGTTAAATATTGTCTGAAAAATGACAGTACTGTATGACAAAAATCTTATACAGTTTTGACAATTGAAATATATTGCCCACTTTACCATTGAGTTTCAGGCCTCTTAGCTGTGACCTCTTCACTTAACTAATTATTATCAGAACTGCAACTTTTTTATCAGCAGTCATTGATATAACACCTGCTGATGCTTATATACCCGTGCTGATACTAATATATGCCCTGCTGACACTAATACACCCTTGCTGACACTAATATACTCGTCTATGCCTGTCAGGAACATCATGTGTGGGACGCTACAATGTCAGCACGGAATGCAGCACCCAGTGACCCCCAACATGGACCAGAGTTACTCCCGCACTATTGTAGCCATGGGAGGCCACGAGTATGAGTGCAAGTTAGTATCTCTCTCTCTCTCTCTCTCTCTCTCTCTCTCTCTGGTGTTTGTGTGGAGTTAAGTGTTTGTTTAAGTATGTTGTAGTGTTCTTTTAAGTAGTTCCAAGGGTGTTTCATTTATTTTCTAGTGTTCTTTAAGTATGGTCAGGTGTTCTTTAAGTATATGCAGGTGTTCTTTAAGTATCTCCAAATGTTCTTTAAGTTTGCCCGAGTGTTTTTATGTATGTTCTAGTGTGCTTTTAAGTGTAATGAAATGTTCTTTTAAGTATGTCCAGTGTTCTTTAGTTATATTTGATGAAATTAATATATCCATGTGTTCTTTAAGTATACCCAAGTGTTCTTTAAGTATACCTGGATGTTCTACTGAGGTACAGGTTATTGTAGATGAGCAGTCATGAATACGAGTGCAAGTTCGTACCTCCAAATGTTCCTTAAGTACCTCCAAATGCTCCTTAAGTACCTCCAAATGTTCCTTAAGTACCTCCATATGTTCCTTAAGTGCCTCCAAATGCTCCTTAAGTACCTCCATATGTTCCTTAAGTACCTCCAAATGCTCCTTAAGTACCTCCAAATGCTCCTCAAGTACCTCCAAATGCTCCTTAAGTACTTCCAAATGCACCTTAAGTACCTCCAAATGTTGTTTTCAAATATTTTCTGGTTTGTTGACGAGTTTGCCCCATTGATGTCCTGGTGGTGTCTTAGTTGAAGTAAGAGTGGACACTGTAGTAAGAGTGTGTTGGCCAGCAAGTAGAGTGTGTTGGTCAGCAAGTAGAGTGCATTGGTCAGCAGGTGGAGTGCATTGGTCAGCAGGTGGAGTGCATTGGTCAGCAGGTGGAGTGCATTGGTCAGCAGGTGGAGTGTGTTGGTCAGCAAGTAGAGTGTGTTGGTCAGCAAGTAGAGTGTGTTGGTCAGCAGGTGGAGTGTGTTGGTCAGCAAGTAAGTAGAGTGTGTTGGTCAGCAGGTGGAGTGTGTTGGTCAGCAGGTGGAGTGCATTGGTCAGCAGGTGGAGTGTGTTGGTCAGCAAGTAGAGTGTGTTGGTCAGCAGGTGGAGTGTGTTGGTCAGCAAGTAGAGTGTGTTGATCAGCAGGTAGAGTGTGTTGGTCAGAAGGTAGAGTATGTTGGTTAGCAGGTAGAGTGTGTTGGTCAGCAGGTAGTGTGTGTTGGTCAGAAGGTAGAGTGTGTTGGTCAGAAGGTAGAGTGTGTTGGTCAGCAGGTAGAGTGTGTTGGTCAGCAGGTAGTGTGTGAGGACGTACCCTAGTTCAATAGATTTGTGGCAGTGACGGGGATAAATTACTGTCAGTTAGACAGGAATGCAGAGTACCAGTTAGACAGGAATTAAGAATACCAGTTAGACAGGAATTCAGAGTACCAATTAGACAGGACTTAAGAATACCAGTTAGACAGGAGTTCAGAGTACCAGTTAGACAGTAGTTCAGAGTATCAGTTAGACAGTTCATAGTACCAGTTAGACAGGAGGACATAGTACAGTCAGACATGAATTTAGAGTACCAGTTAGACAGTTCAGAGTACCAGTTAGACAGGAGGACATAGTACCAGTCAGACAGGAAGACCCAGTCACACCAGGGCTGGGAGATTGACTGGTACTCCCTTTCAGGTCAATCTCGGCTCCTGACCGTATCCCCACCAGAACTTGGCCTCATAGTTCACGCACACCAGTCCCAGTCAGTGGTAGAAGGTTGGTTGTTCACTCTGGTGTTCTCTCTTTATTATTGTTCGTTCATCTTGTAGTGGAACTTTTGTTTGTTCATCTTATATGGGGTTTTTTGTTTTTATATATTGAGCTTTTGTTCTTTTATTGAACATTTGTTTGTTGATCTTATATGGCGCTTTTGTTCTTATTAAGAACTTTTTTCTTATATGGAGCTTTTGTTCTTATTTAGAGCTTTTTTTCTTATATTGAGCGTTTGTTCATTTTGTATGGAGCTTTTGTTCATCTTGTACTGAACTTTTTGTTCATCTTATATGCAGCTTTTGTATGGAGCTTTTGTTCATTTTGTATGGCACTTTTGTTCACCTAGTATGGAGCTTTTTTTCATCTAATATGGAGCTTTTGTTTATCTATATGGAGCTTTTGTTTCTATATTTAGCTTTATAAGAAATAAGGAAAATAATTTATTTGAACTGGTGTGTGTGTGTGTGTGTGTGTGTGTGTGTGTGTGTGTGTGTGTGTGTGTGTGTGTGTGTGTGTGTGTGTGTGTGTGTGTGTGTGTGTGTGTGTGTGTGTGTGTGTGTGTGTGTGTGTGTGTGTGTGTGTGTGTGTGTGTGTGTGTGTGTTAAGGGACTTTAACAACTGTAATTTACTACATCATGTGATATTGAACTTTCTTAATACTATAATTACTTTGTATTATGTAATTTGGTACAGTTCCGAATCCAAGGTCGACAGTTCCATTGCCGGGGTAATTAGTGGTCGTAATGACGCTTGGAAGATTTTAATTATTTTTTCGGTGCTAATTACTCATCAACTATGGGTTTGTTCGGTGTGATTTTGGTGTTTTGTTTTATTCTGGAAGTACTTAATTAGTTAAAACCCTTAAATTCCATTTCTGAGAGAAAAGTATATTACGGTGTAAATATTCTTAAGATTCCTTATCACATATCAATGCTAAAACCTTCACATTTCACCCTATTAAGACCTCCTATCATACTTCTCAGCTAAAACCTTCACACTACACCCTACTGAGATGTTTTATCATATTTCTCAGCTACTTCCCCTCACATTACACTATTAAGACTTCCTATCGTATTTCTCAGCTACTTCCCCTCACATTACACTATTAAGACTTCCTATCGTATTTCTCAGCTAATTCCCACTCACATTTCTCCTCCAGGACTGTGCGATATGAAATGGGTGACGAGAGAAAGAGAGGAGGGGACTGGACACTGGTACGTGATGGCACAGCCTGTGGAGAGAAGCTCATATGCGTGAATCAGACATGCGAGTCAATCTATCCATACATCGAACCTGGACACTGTGAGACAAATAACAATGCCCTAGAGTGCTCTGGTCATGGGGTAAGTATTATGATCTGGGGAACTGATTGCTGATGTAAGGAAAGGTCTCGAGTGTGTTGTATGGTGAAAGGGTGGTGGGTGAAGGGGTGAATTTTAGTGATCCATGCATTGAAAACTTTGGTGGAGTATACACACGCTCATATGCACTCACACAAACACACACACACAGACACAATTACACACACACAATTACACACACACACACACACACATACACAAGTGCCCTAAATTTTAATGTATCATACTTTGAAAGCTGAGTTGTTGGTTGTGGCAGAGGAGCCCTCAGTCCACCCAGCTGTTAGACGACCTGACTTTACAGATGGGGAAGTGAAGATGGTCAAGATATGGAGCAGATGGGACAAGTTTTCATTATTAAGGGAGACTGATTGTTTTAAGAAGAGCATTTTAGAGTACGAGAGGTGTTAGTGTCACTTGCCGGAGAAAGAAACTTAACTTGTAGAGAGTGTTCAGTTAACATCGTCGTGAGCCCGAGAGAGTCAGTTAACTTGTCGATAGTATCAAGTTAACGGATCAATAATGAGAGACGGAGGTTATTGTTGAACACTAGAGAACAAAGACCAGATGCAGGAAACGTGTACTGTATAGTACCTGTCACTTAGTACTACAGGTCATCTTTTCTACATTGAACTCTTATTCAATACATTTTAAATTGAAATTGATAGTTGCCACATTGCCACATTTTTCTTTGTCATATGATAATACAGTTCTAATATGAACACAAAATATATATACCTGTATATTACACAACATCACAATTCAGTGGATCTAGTTTGGGGGTGATATGTTTTGTATACTGTATGTGTAGTGGACAGGACACCTCACCCACATGTATAGAAATGTATACTCGTATATTATATTTTAATCAAGAATCTTGTCTATGTGTTGTTATTGTTATATATGTTAGTATGAAGACGGCAGTATATGAGGCTGACTAACGCCATGTACTGACTAACATTACATTGTCATCACTACACTATATATTAGGTTGTCTTAAAAGAATGTATACAACACAATGCCTTCTGGGTTTTCCTAGATATTCTATGAAAATACTTGCATTACTACACCAAAATTGTCCTCACTTGCCGGAGAGACCTCGCTCATTAACATGTGAGACCAATGACACAGTACTGCACAAGCATTTCAAGTGATCTCCACAAAATTTATAGGTCAGTGTGTACAGTATATACATTTTTCTCAGAGATATATTGCATCTCACACAACTAACCAAATTAATAATACCCACATAGGTATTTTGTATTAATGGTGTTCCACTTTTTTTAAATCGTCACATTACAGGAAGTTATCGTCAGTTACTCTACAACTTTTGGATGATATGAATGTTAGATCCACAGCTTATTTTATCTGATGATTAAGGACCATAATGCTAACCTAAACTATCCTACCATAACTTAATCTAACTTTCCTTGATTAACTTAACTGAATTCAACTTAATCTAACCTAACCTACCATAACTGAATCTAACTTTCCTTGATTAACTTAATTGAACTCAACTGAACTTACCCTAACCTAACCTAAACTAAACATAACCTAACCTAAACTAAACATAACCTAACCTAACCAAATCCTAACCTAACACCCCCATGTAGCATTAGGATAATTAATCATCAGGTGAAATAAGCTGGAAGGGGTCTAATCTTCATATTATCTAAAGCTATCTTAATAAGCATTCCATTAGGGTTTGTCTCAGTTTATTATGCAGTTTTTGTTGATGAATGAGAAAGTCTCTTGTATATGAATGTTAGTGTATTTCAGAGTTTGATTCTTGGAGATAATGTGCTTCAGGTAAGGAATTGGTAGTGGTTTTGGTGTGGTGTGTCAGCCTATGCACGGCTGACTGTGACGTTGTGACCTCCTGTATGAGTGTGTTGGTGTGTGTGTGTGTGTGTGTGTGTGAGTGATTGAGTGAGTGAGCCATCATACTGGGCACCTCATCTCACCACACCACACCACGACCCTCAAACACATAGAAGGAAAAAAACAGCAGCTGATGCATAGGAAAAAAAATACACACCAAAAAGGCTTCCATGATAACTAGGTTCTGATCACTCCAGCACCCACATCACCGCTTACAGCTTCAACACCTGTGATTAACTCTCACAGTGCAGTACTTACTTCACCATTTAATGTTAAGGTGTGGTTGAAACTATCCTGGCAGTACACATAGTTATTAGTCTCCCAGAACCCGTCAACAGCCAGCCAGTCATTAACACGGATCTGAATACTGTACAGACTTAAAACCCGTGTGTTGTAATAACTATATAACTTGTTAATGTTTTTAATAACCCTGGCTGTTGAATTATCCTGTGAACTCTCTGCTGCTATAATAATTATTATTACAGTACAAGTAAAAAGATAGTATTGTGTAAAATACTAATATATTGCTTCAGAAAATTTTTTTTATCTACAAGCACTTTTAATACCAATGGAATTCTGAAAACTATGTGTACTCCTTAACAGCAAGAAAAAACTACATAATTATTCCCCATTACACAATAAAATCATATCCTGATGACCAATACAAGACTCTGGTTGTGTAGTTAATTAATAAGTTGAACACAGTGGGTGCATTCTTATAAGAGGCACAGAAAGCACAAATGCTCTCTCTTGCCTTCTGTTCCAACGTGAGATGGTGGGTGGCAGGACATACCATAACACTCTACTCACGAGCCACCTTATATGCATGTCCCTCACAGCTTCAGTAAGTCAAGAATGCACCCACAACCTGGACAAGTTGTCTATAGAGAGAAGTATCAACCCCTTATTATACTAAATATTAAATCAGAACACATTTTTGGTATCGTTAATGGTAAAATCTTATGACATTGTGATCATACGTGGAGCCTAGTGTTTGGTCCAATTAGTTATGTGTACTAAGACCTCACTGGTGTGTTATGGTGTCGAAGCTCACTAGTATCTTCTCTCGTCTACTGTATGATACGTTATGTTATTGGTAAGAGAAAGTTGTACGATGAATGATGTCTAGTTGTTAATATCTAACCCACATTAATAGATATACACATATATTTAGATACAATTGTACAGTCTGGTTAGATTAGTGTTAGGTTATGTTATGTTAGCATTGGGTCATGTTAGGTTAGGTAGGTTACATTACATTAGGTCAGGTTACTGTAGGTTAGGTTAGTATTAGGTTAGGTTAGTTATTCATTAGGTGATATAAGCTAGGAGTGGCGGTCAATTTATAGTAAGGCACCGGTCTTTCTCTCCTGTGGTTTTTGATGAGTTTTGAACGATTTTTGCTTTGCTCTCCATTGGAAATCACCTGTTTCTGTGATTTACCCAACAAATAACTCAAATTTCCCTACATCTTCCCTTGTTGGGGAGGATCTAAAAAACAAGTGATTTCCGGCACAAATGAATATCAAAATCGTTCAAAACTCATCAAATATCATAGGAAAAACATATTTTTAATATCCACAGAAAGAACGGTGCTTTTCTATGACTTTACCGGAATGGCTAATATTCAGGTGGTTCCAATAGACTTAAAAGTCCTACAGTTATATAAATAAATGTAGTAGTTGGTATACTGTACTAATAATTCAGGACAGTACTAGGAGCAAGATGCATGAGGCACAGTTTCTAGATTATGGTTTATTCCTTTATTGTTGATGAGATGACAATCATTTACTCGTTAGTTGCGTATCATGAAGTAGATGTGAGAGATATGTGCATACAAAACTTTACTCAAAAATTAAATGAACTAAATTTAATTAGTGAAGATTTCAGTTTAATTTAATTATTAATTTTCTAATAAACATAAAGTTTAATCATTGTTGACACATGTATGGGGTCTTCTCTGGGCGGACAGTACTGTGGCCGAGTCAGTAGACAACTAGTCGGGTGTGTGAGTTGACAATTGACAACCTTAACAGGTATGCTCCAATATCAACTCCTGCTTCTGCACCCCGGGGTGGACTGGGATAGACTGCTCCATTTTCGACAACAGCTCTCTCTACACCACACCTAACCCCAGGAATCACGAAGCGCATTCCTCTCCACCCACGGAGAAGACCCCAGCCTCTAACACTTCAGGCAACACCTGGGACCCAAAACAAGGACGCAACACACAATATGGTAAGCGCTGAGCCACTCGACTGTTTTTAAGTTGGCAACACTGGGTTAATATTTTGAAGGGTTTATCTTGAAAGTTTATAATCAATATACTGTAATGTTTTTTTTTCTAATTTGTTAAAATTTAATTTTTACCTGTAAGTGAGGTTTATGATTAAGCGTCTTCAGTTATTTTACCCTCTTAACCACTGATGAGCTCATTATATTCCATATTCTGTAGATCATCATCAACTACTATTTTTTCATTAGGTTTGCATTCAGGTTTTATCATCCAGAGCTGGTGCTGCTCAACTGATGTCAAGTTAAAGTCTTTGGCTGATATACTGTATAATGTATGGACACAGCAGAAGTCTTCATCCCATACATCATTATTATTTTTATTCTATATGTATGATTCTTAATGTTTATTTCATATTGTTTGTTTAGTCTCATTAACTCACATCTTGTACTTACTTCCCTACAGCTAATAAGAGCAGCAACACTGGCGGTCTTGGAAGAGTGGCTATGGTGCTGTTACTTGTAGGCGGAGTAGGAGGCATATTCTTTTTTTTTACCCTAATAGCAGTTTGCTACAGGTACCCCCCCCCTTCCCCCCCACTGGTGTTTTTACCATGTATTCTCGTGGATGACCAAAAATATACAGTATATACATAACCCCCCCTGCTACGTACTGTAGATGGACTGGTATGGGCATTTCCCTGGCTGTATCAAATGGCAGCTCCCTCCTCCCTTATCTCCGTCTGACCCAGCACTGAGTTACCATGACGACACCTGGCTTCCCACCCTTGCTCACAACAATATCAATATGAACCTCGTCATACCATGAGATAATAACGTGGAAGAGGTGGTAGATGCCTTTATTTATCTAAGTTATGATGATGTACAGTACAGCGATAATAGGTTAACCTTGGGGTGTCTGGTAAGCTTTGTTTTGGGTCAGACGATTATTAGTGTGATATGAGCTCTTGTGTTTGACCTCTTGCGGACCACCTGTGGACTATCTGTGAACCACTTGTGGAGCCACCTGTAGGACCATCTGTGGGTTTACCATCTGTGGACCATCTGTGAGGCCACCTGTGGGACCATATGTGGACCACCTGTAGGACCATCTGTGGTTCATCAGTGGGACCACCTGTGAGCCACCTTTGGACCACCTGTGGGTTGTGTCAATGTGTTGTGTGTGCCCTGAGGCATTCCAGCTGTCCTGATGTCATCAACTTATTTTCAGCTCATTGGGTTGCTGATTGATGCTAATGTCTCTTCATGTTTCTCATACTTAGCTTGCAACTTTCTGCAGTGTGGCAATATAATTTACATGTTCAGTGTGTACATCATGCTCGCCTTGTAACCATAAACAGAAGCTCATCAAAAAGGCACAACAAACTTTTCAATATTAATGAACTGTGACATTTATTGTGTAAAGATTTTGTTTCAACTAATTTTTTAGTTTACACATTGATGCTTGATTTGATAAGCTATCTGGGAGTTCTGTTTCTGCCCAGCAAGAAGTGAAGTCCTAAGTATTTTGGGTCCTGAGACTAAGAGAAGAACCCACACCCTAATAGTATATTGACTTGCTAGGTATTATGTGAAGGGCTGTATTGTGAGGGTTTGTGTTCTTACCTCTGTTTCCCCTTTTGTTCTTTTTCCCGCCCTGGGTGCTGTGTCCTCCCCCTGGGTGCTGTCCTCCCCTTCTCAACAACTCGCTCGCCTGGTCTGCCATCCTGTTCGGTCCGCCATCTTGGTCGCGACCGTCACATTGGTTGACTCACCATCACCATGTCACCATAACCACTTGTGTGGCCTCACCTTCTGACACTGCCGGCACAACCCGTGACTGTGGACACAAAAATCACTCAATCCACAAATATAAATATTTCAACTGTACTCCCAAATCCTACCGCCAACCTACCTCGCGACTTGTGCCCAACAATGGCTGTGGTGACCACCTTGTGACGCCACAGTCGGGCAACAGGGCAATGATACGGTGTACCTCGTGGTGGGGTTGGTGTCAGGCATGGGCGGGGTGTTCTTTGCGTTCGCGTTCATGGCTTTGTGCTACAGGTCAGTGGTAGTCCACCAAAATTTCTCCCTGTGTCTAAGGTCAGTACGATCTTAGTCTAAAATAGTCTAGCAATACTTAGATTATCTTTTTATTACCATTACATATCTCCTCAGTCCCAAACTTCTCTCTGTCTCTCTCTTTCATGGCCCGATCTATCGCTCAAAATGCTTGGCTTTAAATTTCTTTATATTGGCACATTATATTTTATTTTCATTCAATCAAACTGTGACTGTTACGAGAGGAAACCAAGCAGTTGTTAGCGTGTTTGTGTGCAGCAACAGCCAGCACCGAACAACCCTCCTTCAACATGTCGACAACAGCTAATAAAGCACTTGCCCTAAACTATACAGCCAAGCCATGATGACCCTTGTATTAAAACCAATTCCGTATTACTATTATTCCATTTTGAACCCAGTCCCAATTATTGTTAACCTTGATGACTGTTCTTAGCTCAAGGTTATGTTGTCAACTTAGTCTAGTGAAGAGTAACAACAACTATAGACCCGGGCTATATACCATTACACGACCAAGGTCAGGTATGACGATGATTGCCGCTCGGGTGTACAGTATAACATTAGTATAGATGAATGACATAGGCTTGGTGTGGTCATCAGAAGGTGTGTCAATGTGTACCCACTGCTGTTGACAACCATCTGCCTTACTAGGGGTCATCCGCCTTACTAAGGGTTCATCTGGCTCACTGAGGTGTCACTGGCTCACTAGGGGTCATGTGGCTCACTAGGGGTCATCCAAGTAAATTAGGGTCATTTGGGTCACTCGGGGTCATCTGGCTCAGTAGGAATCATCCAGGTCACTAAGGATCATCTGGATCACTAAGGATCATCTGGATCACTAGGGGTCATCCGGGTCACTTGGGGTCATCCGGGTCACTAGGTCATCAAACTCACTAGGGGTCATTGAGGTCACTAGGAGTCATCCAGGTCACCAAGGGGTCCTTCAGCTCACTAGCAGTCATCCGGGTCACTAGGGGTCATCTGGATCACTTGGAGTCATCCAGGACACAAGGAATGAACTTGAGAACACCAAAATCAAATTGTCGAGTGTTTCAAGATGTTGATGTTATAATGTATTAATGAGCTTCTTCAATTAAGATCTTATTGATGTTATAATATATTACTGGACTTCAACAAAGGTCTTTAAGCAAGTATTATACAGCTGCCAGGTTAGTGTTGATCCTCATGTTGTTGTGTTGAGCAGAATAAACGGGTTGTAATATAACTTTACAGTGTCTTCTGAAAATAAATTAAATTTTCTTATTTATATGGAAAATAGATCCATTGGTTAGAACACTAGTAGTTACACTGTGTTAAACTGATCTTAGTGTGAGCTGTTGTAAATCAGGTTGTTGATATCTGATCGACACTTCTTCTCAATGTAAATAATTTGATCGATTTTTAGATTGACTGATAATCAGTCCGTGTACCCGATATGAAGTACAGTATACTGTAATGTGCCTTATATTTTTTTTATTAAATCATCTACACTTGAACAGCCTCTAATACCACCATACTGTACAGTCGACTACTAAAGCCTACCCCCCCTGAACCACGAACCCCCAGAGAGATTCAGACTCTGGAACCCAAAGCAGTAGACTGATACAGAACATTATTCTGTCCATAAATGCTTTGGGTTCATGAGTCTGAATCTCAGGTTCGTGGTTCAGGGGGGAGAGTTGAACGGACTTTAGAAGTTGACTGTACATAAAAAAGGTATTGATTATTACAAGCTGTTATGTATTACATTATTACATTACATTAAGCATCATTATCACAAAAAATATAGAATCCTAGTTACATCCTAATAACATGACAACATTTGTAATTAATTATATTGAAGATGACACGTACATTATTGACTCATAACCTTGTATAATGATGTGTGTGTGTGTGTGTGTGTGTGTGTGTGCAAAAGACCTGAAAATATACCCCCAAAAATTTTGTTAATGTATATATATATATTTTTTCTTATCCTACTCCTGTAAGTAAATTAATTATTTGTTTTAAATCTTATCCTTTTCGTTAATTAATTTTTTTTTATAGTCCAAATCCTGTACCATAAATTAATCTCATTATTTAATCCTAATCTTTTTTTATTTTTTATTTTTAATCCAATGCTATATAGTGATACCTCTATTTAATGAACGATATGGAGAGAAATGTTTATTATATCGAGGGTCCGTTAGATGTGAAACCCCCATCTGGCGAACTACAGTAAAGAGATGAAAGTCCGTTATATCAAGAGTCCGTTAGATGTGAAACCCCCATCGAACGGATTATGGAATGAGAAGTCCGTTATATAGAGATTTCACTGTAAAGTACTTTTTTCCTTTAATCTTTTACCTAATTCCATTTATGTGATATAATAACTACAGTAACTGGGTGATGTAGACTGAACAATAATGTGAATAACTTGAATTAAGACTAAGGAACATGAAAGGCATTAACTCGTCCCATTCCACTAAAATAAACAAGAAGAGTTTGTATTAAAAAACAAAGAAGAAGAAAACTCCTTAGCGTAGGTTTCCTCCAAACAGCCAAGTCAATGACCAAACCCTCGCATCCTTCACCTGTCACTCTTAACTCTCCTTCCCTTCCCTATCTTAACACCACACACTGCTACTATCTGCATGTTGGAACAAATGTGATGAAAACCAGCGATTATGGGCCTGTGAGATGTTGTATTCTGAGATGGTTTGATCTGAGATGTTTTTAATCAGAGATGTTTTTAATCTGTGATATTTTAATCCTAGATGTCTTTAATCCGAGATATTTTGTCCTGAGATGTTTTTAATCTGAGTTATTTTGACCAGAGATGTTTTTAATAAATTTTTTCTTTATTTCTTCAATTGTATATAGGAATGACGAGTTTAAAAACGACTTAATGTGGATTTGTTTGTCCTTCATAATCACTGATCTCATTAGGAAGCTTTTTTGTTTTTTGTTAACCTCCCTGTACTTGTCTGGCCGGGAACATCATCTTACATACAGTGACCACCACCACCAGTACCAAGTCATAACCTGACAGTGTTTTAGAATTGTCCACAAGTAATTAATGAGATCAGCTTTTATGAGTTACTATTGATATTAATGATATAAATTTTAATCATTACTTTGATATGTTCAGGATTTGGTTAATAAGGAAGTTGATGATTCAGAACACCTCATTTTGATGTAGGCATAACATTACTGAACATCATAATGACTTAATATAACTTTAGTCTGTTGTTCTAGATGTTCAAGATCATAATTAATCTTATCCTGATGTTCATTGGTGATGCAGACCTATAATTTTGTAAATGCCTATATTTTTGTCATATATAACCTCTCAAGGCTCAGGATCAATGACCACATCACAGATGAAGTGCTTTATATTATTATTATTATTATTATTATTATTATTATTATTTAGTTTTTATATGTTGCAGATATATTCTGTTTGTAACGCACTTTGAGTATGTAGTCACAATAATAGTGTAAACTTAAAACTTGACAGTACAAGAATACTGATTAGATATTATGTAACAATATTTTATTCTGTAAAGTAAACAGAATTACTTTATAATTAAAGGAAGTGTTATTAACAATTGCTTCTAATGCTAACACTTTGTATCCTAGATGAAGAGTACAGGTAATAGTTTGGGCAGATGGTATGTTAATGTCTCACGAACGACGCAACGCCTGTGTGAGGATAGTTTGGGACAGTTTATACATTGCTGTGAGATTAACTTCACTCTAACTTATTACTAACTATTTTTTGGTTTATTTCAAATTTTATGTGATGTTCAGTATCAATATTCACATTTCAAGTTTTCAGAACATTTTTGTACCTAATTATATAGGTTCACTTTAAGTCAGACTTACCTCATTGCTTCTCAATAACAATTTCATTATGTGTTTCTTCCAGTGTTGTAAATTATATTAAAAACTCATCTCTGTAATTGGGAATCCAACTTGTGATATAAATTGTTCATGTGAAAGTTCAATGACTAAACATTGATGTCTGTGCACCAGCTTTAGGGTTCTGTGTCTCCAGGAGTCTGAATGAACCTTCCCTTTGTTCCTTTGCTTATCCTAAATATTCACTCACTACTGTACTATCAGTTATATTGGTCCAAAACTTTTCACTGTTGAGTAAGACTACAGTATGTTAAACTCTCCAAGTCATTAAGAATATTTTCTCCATTAAACCCAGCTACTTCCTTTTATTTTTGTATTACTAATATATTTGCCTTTGGCTTAAAACATACCATCTGCTTAACCCTCCTCCTGTCTCCGTTCTACCTCCTCCATCCCCGTAACTCTCTCTCTACCTTGCCTGTTACTCCCTGCATGGGGGCATGATTAACAAGCCTAGTCATGTTACTGGTCTGTCTGTTAACTCACTTTTCCTTTCACAGAAAAGCTCTTCTGTGCTGACATATTTCCTCTCTCACTAACATCTACGTTATCTTTGCTTGTTTCTTTATTTTCTCCTACTAATTATTACAGGTGTATGTCTTCCCTCTTGTCCGCTTGTAGTCCACAGTTTCCTTGAGAGCGTTGGGAGAGATCTATGATCGACGATGTTCCCTGTTTTCTTGTGGCTCAACACATGGGACATTTTTTTACTTATTCAATCCATTAAATCATGTATCTCTTATCTGTTAATAATACATAGAATGAAGTTTTGTCATCAAGTGAAAACTTTTATGTACAACTTTAATCTGAGGTAGCTGAATGTTTCCACTTAATATTATACATCAGACTATTGTACTGTACTGTACTTTGTTCTAATCTTTGAATGCCTTCATCCTGGGTTACTGAAACAAGCTACTCATCCTCTGTGTAATGTTTTGGGGAAAGCTGTAGTATCTTTGTATTTTTCTAATATATAATTATTAAGTCCAAAAGTCTAGTTAAGTATGAAATTAGCTCTTTCCTTGCAGGTTTTTATCGCATGTTTGCATTATTTACCAGATTGAAGATGCTAAGTAAACGCGAATGTGAATATTTTTCCAGATTCATGCTGAATTTGTTTATCAATAGAATTTTGCATTTTTTCTCTACATACAGTAGAAATTACATAATTACTTGGATTGACTTTTTATGTTTACATTTTAATTAATAAATCCAGTGAAATAGAGTGTACTGTAGAGGGCGCTAGAATGAAAATGTTATGTTTGGCTTACATCTAGAACTGGAAGTTTTATTATACTGTACAAAGGGAAGTATCGATGCGCCGTCACATAACTTGGAAACTAACGAAGACTTTTATCTAGCATCCCGATCGCAAGCCAGTCTTTTAGTCTGTGTTTTCACCTCCTTCCTTCCTCTGTCTAATGTTTCCATGTTCTTGCTGGGTTTCCAGTTTATGATGAGGTTCTTATTATTTATTTCCTTTGCCCCTTAAAGTAACACTCCCTATAAACCCTTGTGTGGAAGATGCAAACCTCAGCCTTGTTCTGAGTGTTAAACTACTTGAAGTAGTTGTTTTATTAACCTAAAAAAAAAAGAAATCATTATGAAAAAGAAGTTACCTTTTTAAAATAAGGAAAAGTTTGCAGTTCTAGAAAAGGGTTTATTTCCATTTACTGCTCGTGATAAAGCTGTGGCTACTATAATGATGGCAGCTACTGAAGTCGTTGAACCCCATGCTTGTGATCTCTGGGGTGTTGATGCTTGTTTTAATGCTTTGTTAGAAACTGTCTGCTGTCTGTCCTCAGTTTACATCCTCGCATGTCTTAGTGTGCTGTGTAGTAGACTGTCACCAAAGCTTTTAGTGTTGTGTAGTTTAGGCTCGTACGTATGTGTATTGTTAACAGAGAATGTTTACTTTCTCATCTACTTCAGAATCTAGACCTAAGTCCTGCAGTTGAATATTTAATAAACTATTAGTCATTTAAACAATTCATAGTGGTGGAAGATTAAAGTAACTAAGAATTTTATTTCAAAATACTGTAGTCCCTTTTCACCCCATTCGCAGCTGTTCTTATTAGCACCACTGTTTTATAATGTAGTAGATACCCTTTGTGGTGTATGTAGTAAAACAGTAATGAAGCAACAACGGAACTCTGCTGAGTCATCTTCACTAGTCACCTCATCGATCTAAATTACATTTTATTTTCTTCCACCAACCGGCACGCCGTTCATCCATCTTGCACGCACACACTGGACCCACCGCAGACGTAAGACCACGATGCCTAAGTATGACGCGCCGTACCTCAAAAGACCCATAGTGAAGAAGCCTCCCCAGCAGCATCTTCAGCCAATGATGAGTAAGACAGAGGAAACGTCACTCGATATGGGTAGTCGAATTACCTTTGGCAACATGCCCAGCTATAGGTAAGGGATACGTATTTCACAACCATCACTGATTATGTCTTACACGACAGATACTTAATACGGACTGTAGTTATACTGTACATCTGTTGTAATTATTTATATAAATGTGATGACAAAATGCTATAATGAGTGGAATTTACAGTAAATTTACAATGTATGGTGTGAGTGTGTGTGACCAAAAGTATATACCTGTATACAGTATTGATAGTATTTTAGCATACATATTAAAACTCTCAGTATGCTTGTGCTGACTAAGATCCTTGTGTAAACTCTCCATTATATTGTTTGATGTTTGAATGTAGGTTGTGTGTATGCGTGTGTAGGTCCAAGTATGTAGTAGATAAGAACACAAAACTCTTCAAATATATCTACAAACAATACAGTTTTGGTATATTTCATCCCCTCCCTTCAATCATCTCATCCTGCTGTCCTTCCCCATGTCCATATTTCCCCATCTCTGTCCCCTTGTCCCCCCCGGCCCTCCCCCCCTCCAGCCCTGGACGGCCACCACTGAGTCCGACACTATCTCGCAGCAGGTCGCTTGACTCCTGCCGTGAGCACAAACTGCAGACGACGATGAGGCGGCCGGGACCTCCAGCAGGGGGCTCTCAGTCAGAAGAAGAGGCACTTCAGTCAGGTATGTACTGTTCAAGGTTAATTACCCTGAATTTCATTACTCTAGACAGCATATTGCAGGTCATGGGAGTTATCTTATGATAAAGGTGTACCGTACAGTATAATAATATACGTACTTAAGCATAATACAATAATACCATACCTTGGTACAGTATTACTATTAAAGTGTAACTCTCAGGTGAATAAAATTTAACTAATTCTGAAAATAGTCTTGACTGCAAAGGAAAAAAAAGATAAAATAGATTAAAAATAAATTATTCCTTTGGAACTAAAGTAGTCAAATAATGGCTCTCAATACATCTTATTTATGTCTAATATGACTCAAACATATTTAGTTGATCAATGTGTTGAGCATCCTGCATGGGAAAAGAACCTTGGATAAAGTTAAAATGGTTAGAAATAACAAATTTTAAATGTTTGAGTAAAGTTAAAATACAGTAGTAGAGTAAGAGATAAAATTTTTAAATGTTTGGATAAAGTTATAATGGTAAGATAGAATATTTTAGTGCCTGGATAAAGTTATGATGGTAAGATAGAATATTTTAGTGCCTGGATAAAGTTATGATGGTAAGATAGAATATTTTAGTGCCTGGATAAAGTTATGATGGTAAGATAGAATATTTTAGTGCCTGGATAAAGTTATGATGGTAAGATAGAATATTTTAGTGCCTGGATAAAGTTATGATGGTAAGATAGAATATTTTAGTGCCTGGATAAAGTTATGATGGTAAGATAGAATATTTTAGTGCCTGGATAAAGTTATGATGGTAAGATAGAATATTTTAGTGCCTGGATAAAGTTATGATGGTAAGATAGAATATTTTAGTGCCTGGATAAAGTTAGAATGGTAAGAGATATAAATTTTAAATGTTTAGATAAAATTGAGTTAATAAAAGCCATACACGTTGAGGTCATAAGATAACTCCGACACTGACCAAGAGCATTATGCACGCACTCACAGTTAATTATTAAGGCACCTCCGGTTACAAAATACCTTAAGTGTTGGAATTGTTTAAATCTTTGACGTCTCTACCATAACATAATTATCAGCTGTAGGGAAGATAATGCCATTAATTTTCATAAGTTTCCTAAATAGATTATACAGTAATCTTAATAATGACTTTTTGTTTATATGAAGACTTTTGTTTAATGCTTTAAATTTAATGTCAAAAGATATTACAAGAAGCACTTTTAACATTTATTACAACAGACTTGGGTTTTTGTTAACTAGTACTGTACTGTATTTATGTTAAATGCTTTTTCATTTCTAACTATATATTTTTGTTTTTATCCATATACAGCCACATCCTGGAACCTTAGAATTTGTATGATAAAAAAACTTTGTTTATTTTTTATATTGTCTGTTAGAACATGCAAAATGCCCTTTTATCTACAGATTTTTAATACTTTAGTCAGGATCTTTTATGTTGTCTTGTTCAGTGACTTTTGCAACAATGTTTTGACAAAAATCTTTGTTTTTTTCTAATATATATATATATATATATATATATATATATATATATATATATATATATATATATATATATATATATATATATATATATATATATATATATATATATATATATACACAGTATATATATACCTTATATAGTTAATGTTTTCACTCGTACTGTTGTGTGTGTTCATGTAAGTGTTACGTCCTGTCAGACCAGATCTCAACCATTTTTTAGCAAAATGTCATTGATTTAATACAATCCCAATTCATGTGTTTGTTTTGAGTAACATAACATACTGTATGTTGTACAGTTGAGCATAAAGTGACGGTATCAGTCAGTAGTTGTTGTGTCCGACACACTTAAGTATGAAAGAACCGGAGGCTGACTTATATAAAGACTATAGCTTGGAATATTGTGGTGCTTGGTTATGTAGGTACACTTAAGACGAGTTAACTGAGCCGAGCATTATCTTGTAAGTTAACTTCTCAGTTACAGTACAGTATATCGTTTAACAGATGATGCTCACCCAGTCATGCCACTTTGAGCTATAATACTTTAGCCTTGATGAAGTATTATTGTAATTTTTTATTAAAACTAAAGAGTGTTAACTTAGTCTCTATATTGTGAGATGTTGTTTGATACTGAAACTATTGTCAGGAAAAATAGTTTATACCTTTAATGAGAGCATTTTTGTGAGAGTGAACATAAGACTTTGATAAAGGACTGATGTCTTCTCACTCTCACATTAACTATATGGTTGAAAAAAATTACGTTATTTGTCCAAATGTTTTACTATTATGTAAAACAACAATCATAATACTTATGTCAAAATATCACATTAGATATTATTGGTAAAAAGTTCGGCAATATTATAGTGAAATATTAATAGATATATTCATATATGTTGATTTGTTCAATATAGTATAGACTCAGAGTGGTGTGGTATATGGGTTAATAAAGCATGTGATGATTGTTGCCACAATAAGACACAAGAGACTTGGCAAATATAAGTAATACCTAATCATATTTTTGATAAGTTAGTTTTAAGCAAGCATGTAGATTATATTTATTGGCCATCATTTACTTTCATGTATGAACTGGTGCACTTCCCGGGACATTAAGTGTACTGTACTGTACTGTATTGTACTGTACAGCACTGTACTGTACTGTACAGTATTATACTGTACTGTATTGTATTAAACAGAACATAAACTGCTGCTAAATACCAGATATTTCGTCCCTCACTGACTTCAGGATACAGTACTTATTATTGATGTGTGTGTGTGTATGTCTATGCTCACATACACTCATACATACATACAGTATGTGTGTGTATTGATCAATATTCTATTTCTACACTATATATATATATATATATATATATATATATATATATATATATATATATATATATATATATATATATATATATATATATATATATATATATATATATATATATATATATATATATATACACACTTATAGTGTGTATTGTTATATAAGTACTAAAGCAGTGCATGATATCTAACCTTTGTGTTGTTTAATACTACTATGCATTTTGATGTCACAAATAGTATTGTTCATTCCTTCACTAAATATTAATGTACAGTATGTACAGTAGCTAAAACAACTATCTGTGCATCTTTGTGGGAAACAATATGAGACCATGTGCGATAAATATTAGTATATGAGGGCTGTCACTAGTCACACGTAAAATTTCGGAGCAAATCGACCTCCACCTGCACAGATAGTTGTTTTAGCTACTGTACAAGTATTCCCTATTAGTGTCGATTGCCTCTTTAATTACCATTTATTTTCATCTCTACTGTAATGATTATGTTGAGTGCAATTTATACTTGAAGTGTGATCTACCCTGAGTAAACATGAAGAAACTGTCTATTAATGTATACATATTAGTACTGGTTCAGTTATTTGTGGGTCACCTTAGGTTAGGTTAAACTTAGTTAGGTTATGTTATGTTGGGTAAGGTTAGGTTAGGTTAGGTTACGTTCGGTTAGGCCAACCACATCCTGGAATGTGTGGGTGTTCATGTCCAAGAGTCCAAGATGTTCTTCAATGAACACTTAGCCTGGTCATTGTGTTTAATCGAGATGCTATGCTGTACAGTGCTGTATCTAAATAAAGGTAATAGCTTGTCATTACTTATGCATGTAGAGCAGAGGGTGTATGTGGCACTTAATTAGATACTTGTATAGGATGTCTCAGAAAAACATATACACTGTAGGACTTATACAGTACAGGGTGTCTCCAAAAATATACAGTCCTGACTGTACACACATCTTGACAAGGTTTAGCAGAGGTTAAGTGAATGTTTGTATTAGAACAGCAACATTGTCCTCACTTGTGGAAGAACTTTCACATCAACAGACGAGGACAATTTTGCTGTTGTAATTCAGTACAAACATTCAATTGGTTTCCATGCAAATATGTAAGGCAATGTTTTACATTTTTCAGATACACTCAGTGTTTCAACCCAAGTACTGTACTGTATATGATCTGTTTTCTTTAGACTATATTAAAATGAAAATGAAAGCAGATTGAGAAGTAATCTGTAATCAGATAGGTATGTATTTCTATTGTAGGTAGTGGACTTTATGACTATTGATTATAAGTGGTGTGTACGTATATCACTTTATTTTACTTTATTTTTCTGTATTTTCTTTACCACTGATCAGCCGCTTGGATGGTCAGTCACGTGACATTATCACACGTCTCTGTTATGCACTGTTGGCAAGTACTGTACCGGGAATGTACTGGCTCCAAAAGGTATCTGAACTTGAATGATGTTGGTGCCATCACAATGCTCACTGGTAGTTTGTTCCAAGAGCTCATAACTCTCACTCCAAAAAAGTTTGCCCTGATAATATTTTGGACTTATGGCTTCTTCACTCTTTACTGTGACCCATAGTAGGGTAGGCATCTGCCAGCTCCAGGTATGAACGCTCGACTGAGTAGTGTCCTCTGAGGTGTACGTGCACTAGAGGCAGCTGGCGTACAAATGACTATAATTAGGTGATGTACATATCAGTAGAAGCTATAGGTACTATACTGTACATATGACTATAGGTAGATGGTAGAGTGCTTGTAGTAAGACAGTAATTGTAACCCAGCAAATGTGATCAAAATCAAACCAAGGGAGAGGATATGTGATTGTATATGAGTGATTTAGGTTAGGTTAGGGGTGCATTGGGTTAAGTTATGAGTGGGTTGGGGGATACTTGGGTCAAATACAAGGTACAGTGTATCTCAAATTGGCCGAGCAACAAGGCAGAAAGAATTAGGAATTGGGGGCGTAACATTTTTTGAGATACGTATTAGTGAAATTGTTTTAAAGGTCCTTATCGATGGAAGAATCATTTTAGAAATAATAAATATATCTCCATTGTTCTTGAGAATGGTGCCTGGTGGAGGATTTTTATATTTTATTTTTATTTTTATTTTTTTCCTAAATGGCTTCATTTCTCTACACAAAAAAATGGATCCCCTGAATATCACCCCTACAGCTTATTTCATCTAAAGAATAACGAGCCTATTGCTAACCTAACCTAACCTAGCCTTATGATTAACTACCAAACCTAATCACCCTAACACAAACCTTACCTTAAGAGTAACCATCCTCATGCTGACCTATCCTAACCCCCCAGGAAGCATTAGGGAGATTAATCATCGGGTGAAATATGCTAGGGCACATCTTCAGGGGATCCATAAAAGATGATCTAGATACAGTATACGGAGATTGAATTAGTGAGTTAATCTAAGTTAAGAACCAAGTGAAGATGAACATGTACTCAGGGTGAGACACATTTCAAAATTATTTATTTTCTGTTGGTGAGTAAATCATTATTAAGCTTTATAGTGAGCAAGGTAAGTACAGTACTGTAGTGTAGTAGTGTGATGCTCCTGCCTTCCTGCACCAGCACTGCCTCTCACTAGATAGTATTGCTCGTCACTCACCACCACTGTAGACATTGTCCCTTCATTACTGTGTTACTTAACGTAGAGGGAGCACCTTGAGCAATGCCTCGTACTCTACTGTACTGGATGGTGTGTTAACACTCGCTAACACTTACCATCATCACCTCAAATTAAATGTTTATTCACATTATTTTCTATTTCTTTATTTAAATATGGTAATTCTAGTTCAATTTTTCCCCAGTTCTAATGCATGAGTTATTTGAACACAGTGTGATTTTTCTTATTTCTTCAAATATGCCAATTTTCTGTCAAAAATTTCGAAAATGGATCCTTTGTATTGTGTAGGAAAGTGAGGTTGAGTGTAGGTGATGAACCAGACTGCTCCAGGTGGCTGTAATGTGACCTTGCCATTGGTTTATGTTACTCAGGAGACAACAACACCTGGATCACCTCATCCTAGGAATACAGTAGCAATCTTTGTGCCAATATGGACATTTAAACATATAGTACCAGTTGTCATCATTAAACCCTTCCTGAATTTAAAGGAACTAATACAAGAAAAAACACGAATCGTAATGGGAAATATCATGTACTGTACATTGATCTCTGGACATTCAATTTGACTCTTTTTAACTGATCTTAAAGGAACTTTTACATTAATATAACATAATATTTATTATAAAGCAAATTGTCAGTGATTATCTTTGCAGTACAGTACAAGTGCATTACCTTGTTAATTAGGAATCTATTGTAACTCATAAATCATTCTTTCTATGGTGATTGTAAAAAGTATTGAGGATTAAGTCAGTGTGGTTGAGCATACCGGGGAAAGTTTATGGTGTTGTTATTACCGAGAGACTTAGCGAAGACTAGTGTGGGGTGAGACATGTGGAGAAAACGTTTGTGTTGAGGAACATGAGATAACA